TCCACTGTTAATAATCTAATAAAAAAAATGAAATACTTTAATAACTGCTTATAAATTATAGGAATAATCATTTGTTTTGATGCGATTTTTTAGAAAGTATACGTAAATATATCCATTTAAAAAAATGGCGTAATGTCATATAAACTACTCAAAACAATTATCGCATATTTGAATAAAAGTAATTATTACATATTTCTAAACGAAGCATGCATTTCTCTGATTTTCTCTTGTTCGTGAGTTGAAATAATTTGGGTACGCACTGTAATGCATGACATGTAATTTTTAGTCGGCCGACTATTTAGTTGCAAAAGTGAAAACAACACATTGTTATGGAGCCGATCGGCCTAATATTTTATTGCATTGGGTAGCCTTAGGCTATGCGCTGACGGGCTATTTTTAATCGGCCGACTATTTAGTCGCATATTTGTAACCAAACTATTTATATCCGTAAAGGAAATTCAAAGTGTCTTGTTTTTCAAATTAATATTTTTTAGTAAATATGCTATAATTGTTTTGAGTAGTTTATATGGCATTAGGACATTTTTCTAAATGGATATATTTACGTATACTTTCTAAAAAATAGTATGAAAACAAATTATTACTCCTATAATTTATGAGCAGTTATTAAAAACCCGTTAATAATAATTACACTTTAATTATTAATTACTCGCCAACACGAAAAACACGATTATAAAAATAGAAAAACTCTGATTTAATTATGTGTTTTTTTTTCGAAAATTGATCAAATAAAAAAAGTGAAGCACACGCCCACTTCGATTCCACACTCCATAATAATGGAAATCCCATCCAAACCTTAATTTATACATGAAATCGATGGTAAATTATCGATTCTTCCCCGGTTTCTGTTTGTATTTCCCGAAAAAGTCAGGTTAATTGAAAAAGTTTTATTTTATTTTTTCTGGAAATAAATCGTTTTTGATGAGTCTTCGATTGCGTGCAGGAACTAAGTTGGTTGAGACAAAAATAGAAACAGGAAAGGCTTTTGGTTTTAATGTGTGAGTTAATGAATTGTTATCTTTGTGTTTTGCTTTGGAACTTGAATATAATAGTTATTTTTGTATCTAATGCGCGAAATGCTACTTTGGCGGTCGATACTTGAATTTTTTAACGAGGCGTAGCCGAGTTGAAAAATTAGTCAAGATCACCAAAGTAGTTCACACACGAGTTGCAAACTTGCAAAGTTGAAAATTATTATTATTATATTATTGCTTCGAAAAAAAAAGCGTGAGCTTGGAACGTATGTTTTTTTATTACTGAACATCGTCATCGATTTCCTTTTAGGTCGTTTTAATACTTGGTATTTCTGGTGCTTGCCGCCGTGAAGAACTTACTAAAATGACGGTCGATAACATAGAAGATATAGATTCAATTTTCATTGTTAAAGTACCCGATACAAAAACAAACATAGACCGAGTCTTTACGGTGTCAAATTTGACTTATATTGAGATTTACCAAAAATAGGCAGCTCTTCGTCCAAGAAATGCTACCAGTCACAGATTGTTTTTAAAATATCAAAATAAAAGATGTGTTAACCAAGTGGTCGGTATAAATTCTAAGTATTGGTAAGATGATAGCAAAACACTTGATGCTGCCAGATTATGAGGCCTACACTGTGCATTGTTTCCGGAGAACTTCAGTCACACTCCTTGCTAATGCAGCGGGTCATATATTTAGTTTGAAGCGCCACGGAGGATGGAAATCTTCGACAGTGGCCGAGGGATAAGTCGAGGATTCTATCAACTATAAAATTCAAATATCAAATAAAATTTTAGGGTGTCAAATACCGGAATCAAGTACCTCTACATCAAAATTGGATAGTGTCTCAAGTCCCAAAACCCCCATATCTCAAGCAAAATCAGAACTATCTAGTTTGGGATTAAATATTGGTTTAGGAGTAAATATTGGATTGTTAATATTGTAAATAATAACTAGGATATGCATTAGTGTTAAGTTTGATATTTGTTATTTGCTTATTCTTGAATATTTCGAAGTAAATAATTAGTTATGATTTAGTTCTTCATTTTCCTAAAATCAAAATTCCAAAATCCCATATAATTTACATGCCGTGTCACTTCGTGACAATGCTATCAATTCGCGAACCTTGTCATTTTTTGACGTTTGTAGAAAAAATGTTATAAGGATATTACCAATAATGCCAATTCAGCAGCTGATTTTAAAAATATAAGCAAAGAATGCATCACGAGATTAAACTATGGGGTTTTGGTGTATTAATGGTAGATTTTGTTTAATTTTCTGTTGTAATACAGCAGGAAAAAGTTGTAATATAAGGGTTATGTTAGAGAAATACAGTTCAATTTTCACATTCATAGTAGTACTGAATTCAATACAAGTTTTAACTTCTATTCATAATTTTGGTGTATATGATGGTTATTTCTTTTAGGTTTCGTAGGACACATTCTCTATTAGTCAGATCAAAAATATCTGAAAAAGTGTTCAGAAATTAAGTGAAATCAAGGTAAGAGTCCATTTCACTAGTCCAAAAAAGTAGCAAAATACGCGTTCGGCATTTAACGTTTTATGTAAAACTGGCTAGGTATTTTTACACAAATGAAGAAGGAAATTAAAGATAAAGTATTATACTATATCCGTATTGTAGCACATTTTTAGACAACTTCTTTATTTTTAAGATTTTGATGGTCAAACATCATCAAAATATTCCTTATATTTGGATTAAATTTTCTCGAAAATAAAGACATAATTTAAAATTCTTCGTTTTGTGATTACAGTGATATATAATTTATATCGTTTTGTAACAATTGCTCGTTATTTTATGGCAAATGCTGAAGCCCTGCAAACCTTAATCAAGCCTTTATCAAAACATGTGTGTTTGGAATTTTAGGTGTTGCTTAACACGACTGAATCGGGCCAAGCCTTAGCCCACGGCCACACAGAAAGCGTTTTTAGCGCTTCGCGTTTTTTGCGTCTCAAACGCTTTTTGCGATTTTACCGTTTTAAGCGTTTTTTTCGATTTGTGTCCATTAAAAGCACGCAAAAGACGAGGCAAGCTCGTGGATTCCCGGCCCGTTCAACAATCAATACTGTGAGAAAGAGATAGGGGAGATCGGCGCGGTTAGCGTTGAAGAGACGAAAATAAAAGATGCTGGGATTGAATTGTGGACAGGCCGGGGCATATATTCGGCGACAAACACAATCTACTGCTAGTGCCAGTGGTGTGTGCAAAAATAATAATTTGCCATTTATTTTACGAATTTTAGTTTATATGTGTATAGTTATTTTATGTTGTATTGTTGTGGTTACGTGTTATAGTTTTTTATGTTGTAGTGTTGTGGTTACATTCAAGGCCGTGACATACGAGCTAGCGAGACGGCCCTGACACACGAGCTACTTGTAACGAAACGTGTTAACGGCTTAGAAATACGTAGTGACGCGACGTGTATTTGTGAGCAATCCACGTGTTTATCAAAAATATTGATATTTTAATACAAATCTTTTAAAAGTGAATCAAATTATTACTTGTAAAAAACCATTTGTTACACGTAAAAAACTATTTTTATTACTTTACGCGAATAAAACTGTTATATGTAACAAACTATTTTTTACGCGTATAAAACTATTTTTACTGGTAGAAAACTATTTTTTACGCGTATAAAACTATTTATTAAACCTAAAAAACTATGTTTTTTACGCATCAAGAACTTATTGTTTCTGGTAAAAAACCTTTTTTACGCAAAAAGAAATAATTTTTACGTGTAAAAAACTATTTCTTACACGTAAAAGACTATTTTTTTACGCGTCAAAAACTTATTGTTCCTGGTAAAAAAAACTTTTTTTGCGCAAAAAAAAAAATTTTACGTGTAAAAAAACTATTTGTTACGCTTAAAAAACTATTTTTTAGGCGTCAAAAACTTATTGTTTCTGGTAAAAAAACCTTTTTACACAAAAAAATATGTTTTTCGTGTAAAAAACTATTTGTTACACGTAAAAAACTAATTTTTACGCGTCAAAACCATTTGTTTCTGTTAAAAAAAACTTTTTTACGCAGAAAAAAAAACACTTTTAACGCATAAAAAACTATTTTTTTACGCGTAAGAAAATATTCCCTTATTTTATTACTTTTTCAACATTTCATTAATAGAATCTTCCTAAACAGTAGATATTCTCTATAAAAATATTTTTAGATAATATGCTAAACGGAAAAAAATGCTATTACTATTTAATTTATTTTTATTGTATTATTAAATATTACGTTCGCCTATGACGGGGTCTCATAGAAAACGCTAAAGACGCTACAAAAAACAAATTGATTTGTTTTCATTTGCGTTTTTTGCGAGACACGCCGACCGCTAGACGCTTTTGGTGGGGCCACTCCTATATAATCCTGTTATTTTGTTTTAGACGCAAAAGACGCTTCACGCTAAAATCGCAAAAAACGCTTTCTGTGTGGCCGTGCACTTAGGCAGATTTCTGAAATGTAATATATATTTCCTTACAAGTTAGTGTGTGCTACTACTAAGGGTGGCTGCAACTACGTCCCGTAATCCTGCTGTTAGGAAATAACAGCTGGTTTTAAAAAAAAAACAATTGTTTTGTTTTAACAGCAGGATTGCGGGAGGTCGTTGCAGCCACCCTAAATTGTTAATAGTGCTAATTAACGAAGAAAACAAATATATAAGCAATCGATTTTCTACAAAGCGGATTATTTTGTGCGTCAAAAACCTCTATTTACAAAAACATAGTTGTTGTGTTGTTGGCTATGTGTGTAATAAGAGTAATAATAGAAGGAAAAGTTCTGTTAAGAAACCAATAAAAATATAAAAGCAAAAAAAAATAGTTAAAAAGTTTGTAAAAGCGAAACACAAAAGAAAAAGATAAAATTGAGTAAGGTGGAAAACTTAACAATTTCATGTCAGGGCCTTTTTTTTAATGCCCTGACACGAAATGGACGTATTTACTGAGTCTTGTGTGTTGAAGGTTAATAGAATAAAATAAAAACTTACTGCCATTAGTAGAAATGTCATGCGCATTCGAAGCTGAAAGATAAAAATGAAAACAAATTATTAATTGTTCTAGGTAGGTACTTACACTATCTTAAATACAAAATTTCTACTTTTTATAGACTATTAGGGGTTACAATCGACAAACATCTTAAATGGAATATTCATATTAATAATGTAACTAAAAAATTGAAAGGTTTGTTGCCGAAACCTAATTATTTGAAAAGTTTTTTGGACGTCAAACAGCTTAGAATCCTGTACTCATCCCTTGTACAATCTCATTGGACATATGGAATTCTAGGGTGGGGTGGTGCGGCTGAATGTCATTTAAAAGGCTTGTATTCTGTTCAAAAATGGTTCATAAAAATTATTTACAATAAAAAGAAAACTTTCTCTTCAAACGTTCTCTTTAAGCAGGCGCATCTACTGGATATACGTTAGCTATCTATACTGCCTAGATGTTATAAAATTAATTTATCAGGGGAAAATATCTATTGAATATGTTGACCATGAATATGAAACTAGAAATAAGGAGTTTTATCCTAGCTTATGTTCTAAAACTGTTGGACAAAGATCTTCAAAGTTTTTTGCACCTCGATTATATAACATCTTATCAACCTTCCTAATGGAAATTAAAAGTTACTCGGGGTTTAAAAAAGGGGTATGCAAATGGATGGTTGATCAAGGTAGAGATATATTTAATGAGCTAGTTAACTTAAAATATACAAAATAAATTTTCATAAGTGCCAGTGAACATTATATATTGTCATAATTAAATTGTATTCCTTTCGACATACAAGTAATTCTATTACTTTGTGACAATTCTTTTAACGTTTATTTTGATTCTTAAAATTTAAATTTAGTTTTTAGTTAAATTGTACTTATATTATGTGTATTAGACATTAGATATATTAGCATATTATGTTATATTGTAACGTACTATTTTATATATGTTTAATTTCAAGAGTATATATATATTTATTTGGTCTATTACCTTTGTTGTACTTTTTGACCAATTTTGATGATTTTTTAAGTAATTTATATCTAAATTATTTGACTTTTTATTATCTCTTTTTAAATTGAAAATAAAAATTCACATCTGTCAATTACACGAGAAAACATACTTTTCATCAAAATATCAACAAAAAATGTTGATATTTTAATGAAAGTTTGGAACACCCTGTGGAATATGTTAAGACAGCAAGAAATTTATAAATAATTTTATCATCTAGGTACATCCTTCCTCGATAGTTTGGTTTTTGGTTCATCTCAATAGCTTTATTTTTGTTGGAGATAATCGCTATTGAAGAAGAAACTAACTAACATTTTTTCGTAATTTTTACATTAAAACAATCTCCGTGCTTTTGGTCCTAGTCAACAGACCTAATAACACAATAAATTGTGGTTCCGAAGCAGACCTTCTTGACATATAAGATTTGGTTTTTTAATCTTCTTCTTACAGTCCGTTCAGTTACATTTACGTTCCTTAGATGCAATTCATTATAAATTTGAAAAGCTGACAAACGGCGCGGCGCACGGTGGGGTATTAGCATGAAAAAGGTGATCGAAATTCGAAAAAGCAAATGTGTTTAAGATTTCCCAAAAAAAAGATAAATGATAAGTTAAATCATCTCTGCCATGAATGGCTTTGCTATGGGTGTGTTTAGTTGCATTCATTTGTTTCAACGAAACGTCAAAGTTGTTACTTCTCACAGATAAGAGGTAAATATTTAATTTATTTTTTCTTTCTTTTTTAATTATTAAATACTAAATTTTATGTTTATAAAAAAATTATTTATTGTTGTTGTTCTTGTGCTCTTTTTACGTTTATATTATTGTTTTGATTGAAAATGGCTCAGCAAGCTGCAGGTATGTATTCTACATAAACGTATTATTTATTTTGATATTCTCTATACTAACGATTTTTTTTGCAACTAAAAGTTAGGCGTTCAGAAAATTTGATTAAATTTGTGACATTTTTATTATACTTAGAGATTTAGTTGCGCATTTCGAAGAATTCAGCATATTGTCTATATACGTTTTACTTAGTAAACATTGGGCTTTCATACAGTAAAATAAAATACTGCGACTTTTTGCGATTTTGCTGATAAAATGAGAAAAACATTCTTGGTTTCCTCTTAATTTGCCAATCAGTGATATACTAATGCGAGGTGTAAACCGCGATGGCATTGTTGTGTACAAAGCGATCGCATTAGTGCAATTAGCAGTATAGCACAATTTGGCATTAGTAGCGACTTTAGTGGTATGGGCATTGCTCGCGGATCAGTCGTAGCATTAGTAGTAGTAGTTGCGATATTACTACTGGCACTGACCGTGGAAACACTGGAACAGTGATTTTTCTTTCTTTTTTTAGAATCGACGAATTATCCTTTATTTTGTACATATTATTTCCTCTTTAATTGAAAATAGCAATAGCTCTTTAATTGAAAATAGCAATAATAAGGTCTACATAAAAAAATTTCGATCAACTATCAGTGTCAAATACCCCACTGTGCCGCGGTCTCTTAGCGATACACTGACAATACGTTGATCGTCTCGATTAGAATTTCTCATACGAAGGTTCCTGGACGTCTAGTATATGAACTTGTCTCGAGGAAGCGACTGCACTGTATCTCGTGCACACCTAAATCTGTTAGCGACATAATTTTTATCTCTATCATCTTCAATTACAGCAACTATAGTGGATACTACTTCTGGATTTGATCATCAAATCATCTTTGCTATAGAGTAACTGCCCAACAGCCAACAGACTATAATAATATGATTTTTCAATAACAGCGACATTACATAAACCATGAAAACTATTTCATAGGTATGTTGTCTAGGAGCGAAAACAAAAGCATAGTTTTAATGTAAAAATACGAAAAAAATATTAGTGTTGTTTTCAAAAGGGAATATCTCCAGAAAAAATAAAGCTAGTGAGATGAACCAAAAAATATACTATCGAGAAAAGATTCGCCTAGAAGACAAAATGATTTCAAATTTCTTGCTTTTTTAATATATTCTACAGGGTGTTACAAACTTTCACCAAAATATCAACATTTTGTTTTCCCTCGTATAATTGGCAGATGGGAACTTTCATTTTCAATTTAGAAAGAAATACTAAAAAGTGAAGTAATTTAGCTACAAATTGCTTAGAAGATCTTCAAAATCGGTCCAATAGAACTCGGTATCTAAAACATTAAAATACGTCAAAATTTTAAGGTGCCCGTTTTTCGTACCGGTGAGTGTATCTTAAAGTATTCTATAACCTCGGGCAAACAACAAGCTACTACATAATATTAGGCTAAAATTAGACCCAATTCAAGACGTTACAGAGGACCACTCGTCAAGGCAAATTGAGGATGTTAAATATCAATTTTAATACGCTGCCTCGTCCAGTATCGTTACGTATCGTCTGACGGCCTTCCATTGGCCAATAAGTTTTAAATTAGGTGTCAAACGCAAGATCAATTACTCATAACAGGAATAATTTTTCAAAATTGGTAATTAATAATAACGTATGCATTGAGTTTTTTTTGCTGGTGGCGTTTGTCTTGAAAATGCAAGGTTAAGTCTATGTAATTAATATGTTGACATGTGTCGCGTTTTTTTCTAATAATTTGTTTGTTACTTGAAATTGCGTTGTTTATGTATGGTTTTTGAATGATAAATAGTGCATGAAAATGTAAATTAGTTAATATTATTTTTAGGGATCCGTACCTAAAGGGTAAAAACGGGAACCCTATTACTAAGACTTCGCTGTCCGTCCCACAGTGCTTCGTCCCATGGACAAAAATCGAAAAAAAGAGTTAAACTTTACTAATATCTGAATATGTAATTTTATACTTATAGCAATGTTCAACCATCCTGTATATTATTTTTCATAACCAGCGTTTTTTGTTAGCAAATATTTTCACAAAAAATAAATTTTGCGATCATTATCTTATCAGTGAAAAGAATAACATTCATAGTAGTTCTGTATATTATGGAGTTAAACGGTACGTACTTAATTGAAAGCCACTATGGATATTGTTAAACAAGGAATGTACTTTAAATTTATTTCTAAACAAGTTCGTGATTGTTTAGTTTTTATTTATTTTTTAAGATGATTCTTAAATGGATATAAAAATTTTATGTTTTCAAACTTCAAAAAGGCATTTAAAAAAAACATATCAAAACATATCGTATTTATTGAATATTTTATCTCAAAAGTTATTTGCATTAATAGCAACTTGTTAAGGAATGGAAAGTACATCATAACTCAGGCAGACCTTAGATTTAAGTTTTTCATATAAAAATGTTTGAAGCGTTTCAAGAATAAGTACTAGGAAAAATATAAGTGTTGCGAAATTTTTTGTGAGGTGTGTATTATGGTTTCCTTTGTTGAAGTTGAATACGTTTTTTTCGCATATTATCATATTATTTAATACTGTTAAACGATATTTACCACTTGTGTACCACTTTAACTCTTTGAGTTTTGCAGTCTTATCTAATTTATTCCTGATTATTTGAATATTTAGGAATGTTGATTGAGTTTTGACATATTAGCGGGAGATAAATGATTGTTCGACAGTAATTTGATAACGTTTTTGGTCCATAAGAGCTATAAACTCTTCGTAAATAAAAAAATATACCTGTAAAGTCCTTTTATAAAACTACGTATTTTTTTGACCTTCCATTACGCCTTTTTTTACTCTTTTCGCTCTGTTGCAAAAATTCCTAGTCGTATTATTTAATTTCTGTCTAAAAATTTCAGCAAGAATAGTGATAACTGAAGAAAAATGCCAATGTCCCACTATTTTAGTTTTCGTTACACTGTGCGACGCACTGCCAAGCATCCGACTCGTACGTCCGATCGGATATTGAATCAAAATTATTAAATTATCGCGATTACTGACGTTTTCTCGTTATAAAAAAATAACACCCTAACGATATCCTTATAATTCCATTTCAGATGCTCAGAAACATGTCTAATGATTTTATCTAGTTATCTCTTGAAAAAAAAGTCTTTTAAAAATAAGCGGTTTGCGATC